CTCCGCCTCACACTCTACGTCCTCACGCCCTTATTCGCCTAACGCCCCACGCCCTGCGGCACTAGGCCGGGCACACTCCGCGCTACACCTCGAGCAGTGCTTCTGCCTCGCACGCTCCACGCCCTACTACACCTCCCCGCTCTGCTTCCTGCAGTGCTGCCTCCTCGCCTGTCGGTTTTGCGATCGCCACAGCCAACGGACGTGCCGAGCTGACAGGCGCCGGGGCCGACCCTCCTCGGGCTCCGCCGCCAGGCCGGCTGTGATGACCGGAAACCATTCCCTTCTTTGCTGCCGCCCGGCTCTGGCCCGCCCACCGGAGGAGGGATCGCTCCGAACTGTCATGTTGCGATATCGCCCGGCCCGGGCCGGAGCCCCACGGGAGGGGCCCCTGGGGGCCGCTCGGGTGCTGTGCCCCGCTCCCCCCGCAATCGATTTGAATATCGAGCGGGCAAAGTCGGCCATACAGTTTGGCGCGGCGGGGTCCAGACGCGCGCGCGGCCCGCCGGGACGGGTCGACAAGATTGTGTCCACGTCCGGGGACCATGGCCCTCCAGTGCCGTGCGGGTAGGGGAGACCCGGAGGCTCGCCGAGAGGCAGCCCCGAGTGGATGACCTAGGTCAAGGTTACCAGGAGGGGAAACCCCCTGGCCATCGTTGTTTTGCCTGCCCAGCCCTTTTCTCCCCCGTCCCCTCTCGCTTTTCTTCTTCATGAGATGCCCCCCTTTCTCTCCCCCCCCCCCTCTCCTACCTCTTGTCCGCTCCTCCTCAGTCTTTTCAAAGAGGTCCTCTTCCATATATCCCCCTCGCCCTTTCATGCTTCTATAGGCTCCTGTTTTCACGTTCAGTATTTTTTTTCCCTGGCCCTCACGGTCGGATGGAGGATACGCAAAGAAACACATCATCCGTAACACGCGTGGACGTCGTATCGTGTGCGACCTCCGCAGGGTAAAAAGGGGCGGGGGCTGTGCGCTGTGCGTCGCTGCGTTAGTAATAATGCAGGTTACCTATCATGGCAGGAGGGGGGGGTGTCACGAGAATTTGGGGTTCGGGCCGTGTTCTTGACTTCGTGGAGGGTAGAGAGAGAAGGCAGCAGTGTTCGGCAATTTCCGGCGCGGCGGTTTGGGTGGGGCGGGGCCGGGGAGGGCTTCGACCCGCAAGCCGGGCCGCGCCGGGCCTCGCCGGGCCGGGGGTCGCGGGGACGAGGCCGCCGGGCGAGAGGATCCTTGGCCTTGGCCGCGACCTCGCGGCCGCCGAATTTCTCATACCGTTGAGGAGGGTCGGGGAGAGAATGGCGGCGTGCTTGAACGAGTTGTCGACAAAGAAACATTATTGAGAGAGAGAGGGAAAGTGGGAAGGGGCAATAGGACGGAGGGTGGAGGGTCACTCGGCCGTGCTGCGCTGATGGGGGTGCGAGGCAGAACAAGCCACAAGGCACCGCAAGGACGGCTATGGCGGGGAGGGAGAGTGTGTTAAGGGAGAGTGTCGCTCTCCCACTCTCTCTCTCTCTCTCTCTCTCTCTCTCTCTCTCTCACACACACACACACACACACACACACACACACACACACACACACACACCACTGCAGCTTTATACGAGCGGTGAACGAGGTTGGGCGCCCATGGCCCAGGCGGCGCAGCAGGGTGCCGACCGACGCCTTAAATTAGAGGCCGGCCCAGGGCGGCCCGTGACGTGGCCGTGGCCCTGAGGGAGAGAGCAGCCTCGCCTCGGACTCGCGAACAGCCATGAACGCCGCCATGCCAAAGGGAGAGGGGAACGAGGAGGGAAAAGACCCCCCCCCTCCCTTCTCACGACGCCCTACCTCTCCCCCCGCATGGGAGCATCGCCCGCCCCGTCGTCCGCGTGCCGAGCTGAAGCCAGAGCAGCGGCGCAGAGCGGCAGAGGCTCGCAGTCCAAAGCAACAGCATTATCCTCGCGGACTATACTACTGGCCGGGGCGACTGGCCGAGGCTACTGGCCGAGGCCCGGGCTCGTAAACACGGACGAAATAAGTTTATGGTGATGAGGGAATCGTATAGGAGCTGTGCGGCTGGTGCCGTGCCACGAGAACGCAACGCGTTTGCGCGCGGCTCGTGGGTCCCGCCGGTCCCGTCCGACTGTCTGTCTGTCTGTCTGTCTGTCTGACTGTCTGTTTCTGCCTCGCACGCGCCTGTAATTTCAGCACCTGACTGAATAACCCACCGCCTGCCCATGATTACTCCTCGCTGTCATCTCGACTTCCTCAATGAGCGGCGCGCCTACAAAGCTCTTTCACAAAATAAAAAGAAAGCCCCCCAACACAGCAAATCAATGATGGCGTTCGCTGGATTAAAAGAAGAGAAAAAAAAATTGAATTGAATGAGCGCGGAAGGTGGCGCGTTTTCTGTTCCTCCCATTAGAAAGCATTAGGGGCTCTCCGTTAGCTGGGGGTGGTAGGGAGGTTGTGTTTGAAGCAGAGTATAGGGGGACGTCGCGCGTTGTCCGACATGATTCTGGGAGCCCGTGTAAACAGCTCGGGGAATGCTGGCGACGTTGCTTCCGGCGCCCTCTCCTCTTACTGAGAAGTGTGTACTTAAGACACACGAGTATATTCTTGGGTCTCGAGCATCATACCTTCGCCTCTCTTCTCGGACCGCATAGGGGTTATCCGACACAAACCCGCCTCTCGCCTCTCGCTGAGCAGATAAGCGGGTTGGCGTACTCCCCTCGCCAGTAAGGCGCCATGGCCCTTGCAATTCTACACGGAAAAAGCAAGATCTCACTTAATTAGGAAAGGTGGGAAACTTCAATTACTGTAAAACAATATGTTTGTACATGTACGATATATTTTGTAATTTGCCATGTACAAAGCGAGTGGTTCATGTACAACAACTCCCACTCTTGCTCGTATTCGCTTCCGAGTCAATACGCAAGGCTTGTAAATTTTATTATTTTAAAATAATTGTACACTTTTTATGTAAAATTTTCCTGTCCCGGGCATGACAATTTTTCTCAATGTACAGTTGGGACGAGTTGGGATATTTTTTTTCACTCTGAAGAAACTTTTCTCATAATCTGGGGAGATTTTTCCAAATTGTGGGTGCTCCCAAAGCTCCACTGTAAAACGTAGAGCGACCTTTCTTTCCCGAATAGAGAGCGATTTTTGCGAAATGACTCGACACGAGTCTTCTTCGTAACATAAAACGTCGCAGAAACGACTCCAAATGAGCGACGTTTGCGAAAATGACTCAAAATGAGTCTTATTCGTAACCAACAAAAATGTCGCGAAAGTTACTCCATACGAGCGATGTAATTATCGCTCCCCAAGAGTCATCAAATTGGATTCACAATATCGCTCTATTTGGATCGTATTTGGTCACTCCTTTACTTGTAGTGTCCTAAAAGTCTCCCCTTTTCCTAAAAAATCAGACACACTGTAAACTGGTTGGCGTCTATTAACGCCAAAATATTGGCGTCTTCTGACGAACGCCAAATATTGGCGTTCAAAAGCGCCAAATGCCCAAAGAATGCCAAATTTTGGCGTTCAAAGACGCCAATAGTTGGCGTTCTCAGAAGAAGAACGCCAATATTTGGCGTTCTCTGGAGGACGCCAATATTTTGGCGTTAAAAGACGCCAATCAGTTTACAGTGCATTGCTTTTTTTAAATGATCAAGCGCATTCGAGGTACTGGTACAAAAACAAGCCAAAGAATGGGGCCTAGGGCTTATGCGTGTGAATTTGGTTTCTGTTTGCTGGGTATGAGGGGGCAGGGCGCGGCGGTGGGGCGCAGCTGGGACGTGTTACGCAAGCGACTGGATTTGCCATCGCGCTTTGTGCGGGGTCCCCCTACATCCAGTGCCCTCCGCACCCCAACCCGACCATCCCCCCGCAACTGGACCCTAATCTGGACCCCAGACCCGTCGGGGCTTTTTTTTTCTTTCTATTTTTTTTTTCGCCTGCCACGTACTCTGCAGCCGTTGGTTTGTGGGTACGGGAGGGGTTGGTACCCGCCTTGGTCTCAGCTAGTACCCGCTCGTACCCCGTAACGGAGCGCACCTTCTTCTAGACCGGCCTTCGAACTCCCGCGCCCTCCGATTCCGCGACCTCCTTAAGCCCCCCTTCCCCTCTTCCAGAATGGAGGCCCCTCCCTCGCAGACCCCTCCCCTCTTTCCCTCTTGCTCTTCGCGTAGCAGGACGCCCCGACACGCCCTGCCACGCCCCGCCGCGCCACTAATGGTGATGACTGGTTTCCAATGTGGTGAAAAGGGCCTCGTGACGTCACACCAAACTTTCCTGCCACCCCGACATTGATTCGCCATTACTTTTTGTCCCCCCCTTCCCCCATCCCCCTCCTAAGCTCCCCACCCGCAATGTTTTGCGGTAGAGTGTGGCCGAGCCTAGTTTGAGAATAAATTAAACTCCATCCCCCCCAAAGCTGTCGTGCGGACCGCACACCAGTCATGCGACTTTAAAATCCCATACCCGCGCGCCTCCCTGCTCCAACGGAATATTATGCGAATCAAAACGTGCCCTCTCGTCCCCACTTCACTCCCCCTCGTTCTCTCCCCTCTCCACCCCTTTAATCGCCCCCGCCCTCCCGCAGCGCCGCGCCCGGCCGCGCCGCACTCCACCCCCTCTTACAAAGGAAGAGCGATGTCGCTAAACACGCTGCGGTCACGTCAAGGAAATGATGGGTCCTAAAAGAGGCGTTGTTTGGCTTGTTATCGCCGTTATCAAGGCGCCGTTGCCGCTACGCGCCGCCACTGAGAATGCATTGTTTTGCTGTTGACATATCTTTTATACGACGAAGCAGCCCCGGCCCGAAGAGCGCGGAGGGGGAGGGCGGAGGGGAGGACCGGGAGGGCCTCCATCGCACACCCCGCCTGGGATGGGAACACGCGAAAAAAAAAGAGGGCAGTAACAAACAGCATTAACAACAGCGAGCGAGTTGCTCTCGAACCGCAAACTCAACTCCGACGCTGCTGCCTCTTGCACTAACTCCCAGGCGCTCTTATTGTTGCAGGTCGGAGCTTCGGTCGAGGATGCGGGCGGCATGAGGCGTTCGCCCCCGCAGCCTCGCCAGCAACAGCAGCCCACCCATGCTACTTCCTCTTCGACATGCCGACCCCCCTCTCTCCCCCCTCGGCCCGCCCCTGTCCCCCCTCCCCCTCCGCCGCCCAAGGAGGTGCGGTACCCCTTCGGCGTTCAAAACGACCTTGGACAGGTCATCCTCCATGGCGGGACCACGACGCCGAGCTCGACAAGGGTGAGTAACGTGTGTTTGTCTGCACGGAACGGGAAAAAGAGAAAAATGGTTGTGTCCACAACCCGCACAGTATAACCAATGTCTGATTATTATTATTTTTTTTATTTTTTTTTGAGATAAAAGAGGAGCAACTTTGAGGAATTCTAATAATTTGAGGAAACCCCCAGAGACGAGTAAGAAATCACTCGGGTTCGTAGCGTACGGGTGTTTCTCTTGCCATTTTGGTTATTTCTCCTGGCATTTCAGTTATTTCTCATCTATTTCGTATATTTTAGGGTATTTCGGGGGTATTTCGCGACTATTTCACGGACTATTTCGCGGACTATTTCGCTCTATTTCGCCTTTATTTCGGACTATTTCGGGGGAAGGTGTACGAACTATTTCGCAAGTGATTTCCCCCTCGCCCCGAGATTCTGAGGAAGTCTCCTCGAAAAAGAAAATAGGAAAATCCCTCAGGTTTAGGACATTTCTTCAAACGTCTAAGTAGGACTTAAAGTATATACGTTCCTCAGATTTTTTCCCTTTTTTTAAAAATTCAGACCTTATTTTTACCATTAAAGAGTGCGCCACGAACACGCACAGCGTGCCAGGTGGCACGGTAAAAACAGCTCCTTGAAATCCAAGGACCAAGACACCGGATTCAAGGACGTGCGTAGGGAAAAACACATGAAGCGTTTTTGAATCGGTGTCTTGGTCCTTGAACATCAAGGGCAGGTTGCTTACTCTCGGGTCGTAGGGCGCGTCGCCATGGTTGTTGATTGTTCGAGGAGAATGTCAAACGAATAAACGTAAAATCGACCAAACCTCGGTCCAAACAATTTGTAAGGCCTCCTCGTACAAGAAACTACCCGAGCTAGTCAGAACAAAGCAGAAGGGCAGGCTAAAAAGAGGGGGATAGGTGACGAGGTACGTTCTAAAATATCAAGTGGTGTCGTGCACTTTGGAACGCGCGGAGTTAGATAAGCAAACTGGAGTTCTCGCGTCGCTCTTGAATATCGGTTTCAGTTTCAATAGGGTTTGAGGGGGGCGACGCGCGCGGCTTTGTGGAATTGAGTAGGAGCGACCAATTACGGAGGAGTGACGCCGGTGGGGCGCCGTGCCGCCAGGTCACAGGTCGGTCGGGGGACGCGGGGCTTCACGGGGAAGCAAAGCGACTTCTGTAATGCCTGTCGGAAGTAATGGCTGCACCGTAAAAAGACCACAAAGTATTGCTTTGCATTACGCGGGATTGTTTTGTAAGCTATACGAAGAAAACGGAAGCACTGTCCCGTGACAGGTCTACGGGCTACGACACAACAGTGTTGGAGGTTTGTACATACCTAGGCATATACCCTAGGGGCCATGACGCCTTACGGGTAGAGCGAGTAAGCAAACCCAGCATACTGTTTTTCCCGTAGCGCTGACACACGGTATCACCAAGAACCGGCTTCGTAGCTAACTAAGCTAAGCATTGCTTTGTCATACAAAACGTATTTATTTGTAGGACAAAGACTGGTGCTAACTGTGTAATTCAAGGAATGCCTGTAATGCAAAGAAATAAGATTTTTTGTTAGATCACAAAGAAAGCTTTGTAAGATTTTAACAGTAGCCCATTTCCTCCTCTGTCGTCTTTGGTCTCTCTCTCTCTCTCTCTCTCTCTCTCTCTCTCTCTCTCTCTCTCTCTTCCTTCCCCTCTCTATTATCTTTGTACACCAAGCAAGCATAAACGCAGCTCTATTCTCCGTTTCGCTCTCTCACCCTCCTCGCGCCTTTCCTTTTCGTAAACAACAACTTAAATCATGAAAAATTAGCAGCTCATTTTGCAGGCTCTAGCCCTCGCTGTAATGAGGCTCCTCGAGGAATTCCTCCCATTTATTTTTCCCCGGCCTCTGTGTCCAGGCTATTGACTCGTAATTAGGCTCAGGCGCACGATCCATCCCCGTCTCTTCGCCTAAGCGATTTTAACAACGACATAGATCAGGGGAAATGAAATGTTGGTTTCGCAGTCAAGATTGCTTCGCTATAGGGCGAAGGGTGCTCAGTCTGTAAGGTTTTGCCTCATTCGTTTTTCCTTCCCATGCACATTTCTGAGAATTTCCCTGGTGATTACCTCCTTTCGCTTTTTTCTCACACGCCCCTTTTCTCACCCCTGCTTTTCCGTTACTTGCCCTCTTTACCCGGCCTCTCCCATCGCCCTCCCCCTCCCTTCTCTTCGCTCGCCGGTCCCCTTTCTCTCAGACGGCTCAAGTGCTTTCGGACTGTACTGGCTGCTCGGTCATCGCGTCTCATTGTTGATTCATGGCCCATGGCGCTGCTGGCCCGTTGCCTGTCCAGCCTCAGCAACAAGGATTTCTTCCGCCCCCCACCTCCCCCCTCCTCTTTCTCAGGAAAATAAACACAGTCACTGTGTATGGTACTGTAGAGCCCAGTTTCCCTTCTGAGCGCTAAAGTGCATCAGGTGGACGTCCATTGTCTTACCTACCACAGTTTTCCGTACCGATGCGCCTTATTGTTCTGTACTTGCTAAAAAAGGGTAAAACGTTATTAAGAATTATTTGTGAAAAGAGTTGCCAGAACTCTTTGTATTTTTGCTTGGTGTCACATCACTGGTACACTAAACCCTTATGCATTTTTGCTGTTCGTTAAACATGCTCAATTTGCCATAATTTTAATTCACAATTTCGTGAATAACTTTGTTCAGTTTTAGCATAGTTATGCACTATTTGTGCATAATTATGCATAAGAAGTGCACACTAAAAGCTTATGAACATTTTTGTTCATAGCTTGCTGAATTATGTGTACGTGCTCCGCTTACGCGTTTTTTAATCCGCCATAGTTTGTACAAATTAATTTGTTCATACCAGCGTATTAAAAACTGCGTAAGCGGAGCACGTATACAGAACTCAGTAAGCTATGAATGAAAATGTTCATAAGCTTTTAGTGTGCACACATGTGTGCATACTGCTGCGTAAAATTCTGCGTGTTTAATATGCACAACAAAATACACAAGTATTTGTGTTGAAGTTTTTCAAATTGAAGAGAGCAAACTGCTTGTTGTTGTTTTTTTACTACGAGGAAGTTGTGAGGTTTCACAGTTGCTTCGTACCGAGTAAGTGTTGGGAAATTACAAAAATATTTTTAGCAATGTGGTAACACCTTATTGGTACCTTATTGGTACAGGACTGTTGGCTGTGCTCTCCCCACCTTCTCCCCTGCACACACTTTCCACTCGTAAAACTTCATCATTTCCGTCCTTGAGTGTCTCCTTATTCGCACCTCGTCAGTTAACAGGCTTTCTAATTACCATTGCAAGCCAGCACGACCCATTTCTTTTCTTTCTGTTGATGTTTATTTTTTCTTTTTGTCGCCTACCAACCCCCGTCCCCCTTAACCCCGTCCCTTATACTGCTCTCTCATGGGCCTCGACCGTGTTTCGTCGGAAAATACTAAGCTTTTGCCTGCGCTTTACGGCTCTGGTGTTTTCATAGGTTGTTGACCTGGAGAGGACCTGCTGCACTCCGCACTAACAGCGCGGGGCGAGTCGCGGCGGGGCGTGGTGGGGCGGGGTGGGGTGGGGGCTGGGGTTAATTGCCGCGACGGGCGCACAGTCGATCTGCAGCGCAGGCCGGCCTGACCCCACCAAACAGCCGTTCGCCGGTTAATTAATTGCAAAATGATCATTTATTTAAATGGCTGGTCAATTTTTAAAGAAAATATTATCCCAATCGGCTTGCGGGGTGTATGTATGTACGTCATATGTTCGCTCATTCTGATGTACGTGTGGTCGAAGGGGGTGCTTTGACTCCCTTGACGGTGTTCTCGGCTGGGTGGGGCGGGGGTACACGGCTTTACCTGTGGGTGCGCCGCCTCGCAGAGATACTATCACGGCGGAGGGCCGGCCCCGCCCCGCCCCGCCCCGCCCTGTCCGGCCGAGCCGCTACGGCGGCCGTTTTTGTCCGCGGATCGGGGGGAGCGGGAACCGGCAGCCAGCGGCAGGGGACCTATGGGGGAAAGGGTGACGTGGCGTGCGGCGTACGTTTAGTTCTTGCTGTTAAGCTGTGTGTGTATGTGTGTGTGTGTGTGTGTGTGAGCGAGAGAGAGAACAGAGACAGCGACAGAGGGGGGGGG